ATTGAAAAAAACTAAAATACCATATTTTTAGAGCATAAATCTCATTGAAAAAAACTAAAATATCTTATTTTTAAAGCATAAATCTCATTAAAAAAATGAAAATACCCTATTTTTAAAGTATGAATTAGAGTGTTTTTGTCATTTCTTGTAATACTTTAACTACGTAGTTTTGGAATGATTTTTCCTCATAATTTTTAGGAAGTAAGGCGAACAAACACTAATTTTATAGTATATTAATTAGGATTCGAAGATCAACCATAGTGTTAAAATATAAACTATCGAAATTCCGATCTTTAGGCAAATGGCTCCATTACTATTATCTCTTAATGGGTGATGTTATAGGTATAACATTTTTGTCTCATATTTTTAAAAGTCATTAAAAAATTAATTATTTTAATAACATATCAAGTTGTATAAAAATTAAAGAATTTCGAAATTAGTTTGGTTTGATCTTACAATATTTTATCCTTTTGGCTTTTGTCTTCATCACTCATCAGGATATATAGTAATTCGTTTTTTAAATGGACCTTATTATCGTAAGCGAGAAAAATAATGGAGATTCCCACGATCCATTTTCCCCTTCATCCAACATAACTATATTTAATTAGGGAAAAGTAGATGCCAAGATTCCATATTTTCAAGCCTAACCTTCTCATGCCTAACTCCTATAGTCTTATGGGTCATTTTCCTTTTCAATGGGATCGGCAGCAAGGACTTTATTCATGAAAAATATATTGAAAGCTTAACGATTAAATTGATTTAGATGCAATTAATGTTTTCCTAATACAATCTTATTGTAACAGAAATTACGAGTTAGAGTAGAACTATATTTATTTAACTAAAATTTTTTATTTAATAAAAAATAAAAAATTACTTAATTATTTAAATAATTTATTATTTAAATGATAGATTAAAAAAACAACTCTACTGTAACAATTTACTTGTGGCATGACAATATTCCCCACTATCTCCTTTGTAATGGTGAAAATAGGATTTTTCATATTAATATTTAATTTTTTTTGTTTTAAAGAAGTTGCTCAGAAACTGATTACCTCAGCCACCCATAAATAAAGAAAAGAATATGTGTTGATGGTGATTATTAATATAAGTAAAATATATGCGAAGAATATCCATGGAGTGGGGATGGGATTTCCTCTCTCTTTAATTCATCTTTACCAAACAAAAAAAAATTCAAAAAAAAAAAAACAAAGATGTACGATAAGGATAAACTAATAGTTTATTTAATTAAAAAATATAATATTAATTATTAAAAATATGATAATAATATAATATAATATAATAAATTAAGTGAAGCAGCAACATTTATATGTAAATAAATACACCTAGGGATGTGCGTCATAATAAAGTCATCAAATCATAAAGGTCCAAGAAGAATCTCTTATACTGGTACTCCTATGAAATCGAAATGTGAACTGGACGATGGAGATGGACCAAATAATGGAGGATTGCCACGCACATGACATATTAGTATTTATTGGGGGTTCTTGTAAGATCACGCACATGGGTACCCTTCAACTAAAGATAAAGTACTTTAATTCTGCTTACCTCTAACGTCCTCAAGGATATATTTGTTTCCTTTTGTTTTCAAAAATTTTGCTATCTTAAGCATATATATGTTGAGATTTTGAGACGCAAATCAAAGGAAATTCAACAGAAAAACATATTACATTAAACCATTTAGGTTGTGTGATGTGAAAACACCTTAACAATTCTTTAAAAAAAAAAAAAGTAATGGCACCTGGCCTTTCGGGCACCTGGCTTTTCGGGCATCCAGTCAACTTGAGATGCATTCTCCCCTCGCCTCGAAGCTCGTCCCTTGACAACTTGTTCAAAAAAATAAAAAAATAAAAAAAATAAAATAAGTAATGTTAAGTTCAA